GTAACAGGAACAAGCCGTTTTTTGAAGTGATAGGAGAAGTAGATTAGGAAGAACGGAGTATGGGAGCTACTCAAGGCATGATGAGTCCCATGATGGATGGAGCAAGCAGGTCTGGGTCCGATCGAACATACGGAGTCGGAGAACGGCGACAAAATATAGTGCAAAATAGGACGTTGAAACAAAATATCTAGTTCCGTGAATGCATGGGAACAGTTGTTGAGGTTTGGTGTCAATTCAATCTCGCGTGTGAATGAAAATAAAGATGAATGTGGGCAGGTTGGGTGGAGTGATAACCACGGATTGAAAAGTAATAAGGAAAGAGGGCGAAGCAAAAAAGATGTAACTCAAGGGGATGAATCGGGATCACAGCCCGTTAACCGCGGCACTTGTGTGTTCATGGTTTTGAGTATGAAGCGATTGTTTGTGGTGAGTCTGTGAATGAATGAGTGATTGTATATGGTTGTATTCGTCCATTCCACGGTGGTTCGGGTTGCACGGGAATGGGAAGAATGACTACAGTACCAACGGCGCACGGATACACATCACAAACTGGTGGAGGTGGTGATCCAGACGACGAGAATATGTTATGCATAGTTTGTATATATCACATGAGGTTGCAAGGGGCTTGGGCGGAACCTATGGGGCGTGTATAGGAAAAATATGACCGGGAGGAACGAGCGAGAGATGTGAGTTGTCCGTACGTTGTGTGGAGTGAGGGTAACAGTATGGGGGTGGAGGAAGGTGAGGCGAAAGCGAGCAAACACAACAAAGCAAATGAAGACCACGAGGTCGATGCAGATAAACAGTGTGACGAAGATGAAGACAACGCACGGATGGGTGGTCATTCGAGCCACATGTGTGCGGACAATTGGAATAAAACGAATGGACCGAAAAAGAAAAAAAATAAATAATGGTAATAATAATAATGCACGACATTTCAAAAAATAACAAAGGTAGTAGTGGTTGTGGTGGTCGAGATGATGATGGTGGTGCTGGTAAGCCATGAATTAATTGCGAACTAGAGGGCTTGGGGAGACGGGAAACACGCAAGGAAAAGGTTGGATAAATGAAGATGTGAATTTATATCTTTCAGCCCAAAGGCAATGGGACAAGACGATCGATGGGTCTGGGTCATTATGAAGCGGGTTTGAGGGTAAGCAGTTGAACTGGCATGTAGCAGTCAGCTGAATTGACCAGTTAGCCCTAGCTATCAGCCAGAGGCCCGTATGCATCGGTCGAATTAGCTGGATGAAGACTGGGGTGGACAATTCACTCCCCACAAAGCGCTCGGACGTGACCCATTCACAACTTTCGTGCCGTTACTCCCACTGCTGCAATTACTTCCATTTGTACTACCTTCCTCTGGGCGCAACCGACCGTTTGTTCCCGTTTCGCTCAACCGTTGCATAAGGTCCAAACCGTTGCCGGTTATAGGTAGGTTATTGGTCAAACATGGCGACAGTGGAGTGACGGTTTTAACGGGAGATTGTGTGGAACTGTGCAGTCCCGGAGATGCGCCGGCTGCAGCAGCGGCAGCTGCCGCGGCGGCAGCTGCTGCTGCAGCTACTGCCATGTCACCAGAATTCACATACAAATCAGAAGGGCCTGTTGCCAAGTGAGATGTCGAGTCTGATCCGCCACATGTTACGGTGACATTAGATATCCCAGATCCGACTCCTACGGAATCACTGGGTTTCAAACTCTTGGACAATGAATTGGAATTGGGAGGTGAACAGGTTGGAACAGAACATGCATTCGGAGCCATGGGAACTGATTGTTGTGACATATGCAAAGATGACCGCCTTGTAGTGGCTGTAGTGTTCGTATAGGGATTCTGTTGATAATAATGGGACGGTTGTGGATGGTATTGTTGCTGCTGCTGCTGTTGCTGATTTGGGGCGGCACAATTCACACCCAGGTTGCGGAGGCCACTGCGAAAATGATTGTTAACCTCGCTGGAGAACCCTGGTGACTGAGGGCCGGCTGAAACGTAACCGGACAATGACCCACTCAAATTACCTAGTGGACTACCAGTCATTGTATAATGTCCGTTATTTAAAGAGTTATTAACAGATGAAGCAGCATTTGCGCATCCAGTCAGACTAGACATGGAAATGAAGCCATACAAGTTAAGAACATGCATCGCATTGGCAATCTCCTCTGTGGCCATATCCGAATAACCAGCTGTACGAAGAATGTTTCGCACCACTTCCAAACCGATGGTCGTGGATCCGGAAGATGGACCCGAATTAGCCGATGATGGCGAACCGTAGGTCGGAGGGGTAGACTGACCCAATTGGTTGGTGACTGAACCCAACAAGCTTTGTGAAGTATGCGTAGCTGATTGACTTGAATGATGCCCGGCTGTGAGACTACGGCCAGTCAAAGCACGACCAGCCGTTTGTGATGTCGGTCCATTCGTCCTATTTCCACCCGCCCCACTGGGAGAGAACGAAGCCGCAGCACCCATAGCAGCGACTGCTGCTGCGAAAGCTGGTGGGCTAGCACCAAACACCGGACCGGGTGCGGCTGATGATCCGGAAGGACTGATGGGAGAGAGGGAATTCAACTGGGTTGGCGGAAACACGTTAGTGTTGGGCCCAGTATTCGGACCACAACCACCGAGCAAAGGATCTGACGAAGCCAACGGTACAGGACAGTTGTTCAATCCAAAACCAGATCCCATTACCAGGGCGTATGGGGAACCGGTTGGATAGGCACTGGCCACTGGTCGCGGGACTTCAGCGTAGGAAATATTAGGACAACTGGAGGACTGGGGGTCATCCGCGATCTTGACTAGTAATTGGGCAACCGCGTCATAGGTTTGGGAGAGTTCACCTAAGGGGATAAATGAAGAAAACAAAAATATTATTAGGCAAAACCAACGAAACAATTGCAGGGTGGTGCTTTCTTAATCGGATGATGACATAAAAGTAGAGACGTATGACAGATAGCTTCAATGAATTTCTCCTGGAACTTTACGAGGTTCACCACTTCGAATTTCAGGTTTCCCGTATACCGCTTTCAGTTTGAACAAACGAAAGCCTCTGTATGGCAGGGGGTGGGTGTCTAGGGTTACGGCTGGTCACCCTTTCTTTGCACTTCGCAAAATGCTCTCATACGACCAGGCGTCTCAAATAGCCTTTGCTGAGGAAGCCCTACTCACTGCCTTCTCGTGGCGGAGGTGCTTTCCCACCAAAATGAGAACGAAAAGCCGACATCCGGAGAGATAACAGGGTTGGTGGAACACGGGTAGTTTACCTGGGGAGTTGACCAAAAACCCTGATTCCAAACCAACCAAAAAGCGTACGAACCACAAAAACTTTCCAGGTTGGGGTAATGGTCACCGGCTCGATTGGGCATCAAGATGTATTGGGCACCTGGGACGTTTGACCCCGTCCAAAGGGCGTATGATCTGATGAACTGGACACCAGCCCCCCACGGATTGCGGGTTTCCCACACCACCCCGCAGAATCGCGAGTCAGGCTTTGGCTAGCCGAAGGCTCTGGTTGTGGATTCCTCAAGAAAATTCACCTGCCTTGGCATAGGCAACCCGGCAGTATGTCGCCCAACATGAAAATCATGGAACGCTTTTCTTTTTTATAAAGATTGTTGTACCATGATTGGTTTGGCACAGTTTGGCGTCAGATGTGTGAAATATAACATAACAATGAACAAACGTTAGTCCCACCTTCATGCGGCTGTTTTGGTTGGTGCTCTCTGGCTTCCTATTTGGATGAAAGAGTTGAAGTAAGATAGGGATCATGTAAGCAGTAAGAACGTAAAAAAACAGAACTCATGCAGACTAAGGTTTCAAGGACAATGAGTAGATGCATGACAGCCATATCGCTGTGTCTCTGAGCCTCAATTACAATGACCCTTAGGTCCCCATCCATGAAGCCAAACGCGACCTTCGTGAACAAGTCTCTTGGTCAGGGTTTTTACACCCTCATTCCAAGTCTTCATTTGATCACTCTTGGCTTTTTTTATTCACTTCCAACCTCGGAAAACATAGCGTGTCACGGTAATGTATTTGGTGACATGCGCAACGCACACCCCAACTACCGTAGTCTACGTAAGTCAGCCACTTACTCCAGTTTTTGATCACAAACACCTAAAACTCTGCGCCTAACCTCAACATTGTTAGTCCGGTTATCCCACCAGATCCGTGCAACGCGGTATACAAAGTGGGGCTCTTACGCCGACAGTTTATATTCATCCTACTTTTTGTAATGGCCTAGTTTCTGCGCTGCGTGGCAACACTAGTCGAACCGCTGCAGCAAATGTCTAACCCTTCACCACGGTGCCATATGTCTTAAGCTGGCGAATGCCACTCATGCCTTCTGTAGGCAAGCCTTTATTTCATCCATGACGTATTCAACGGATGAGATATCTGTACCCAAATAACAAAGCTTGTCCACTTGCTCTATTACTTCCCCAGTTAGTGAGGTGGGGAACTAGACCAAACGAGCCCTGCGGCAACATTTTACACTTTGAAGATGCAAAGTACATATCGAACATGGCTACACTACACTTACACGCTCCCCGTCACACTGTTGGAATTTTCACATTTTTTACTTGTCATCCATAGTAGCAACTCACAGGAGTACATTAATTGTATCAAACGTGCCAGGACATCTTTTGATGATTCATCGGCTTGTGGGACTTCAGTTTCTCACCGTCCAGGTTGGACTGAAAAACGTAAGAGTGCAGGATGGCAAGTTGCTCTTAATTGCAAACCTCTGGCCAAGATGACTGTTCCCTCGTTGGTCAGCACTAACACTCGGTCCCTGTTTCCTATATCGCAGTTAACCGGTGTTCACCCGTCGATAATTCACGTGAACACCTGTACAGTCTGTGTACAAGAATCGTGACTGAATAAGGATATGAACGACACTCTAGTGTCGATAGACGATTTTCAAGTTTACCCACAGGATCATGAAATCGGAGGAAGGATTAGAGTGTTATAACATAGTTCAACGTTTCCTGATGTGGCGAGTCCGGTGTTGTATTTCAGCATTGCTCAAAAGGTACTGAGTGCTTAACCGTGCGGTCATCCAAAATTTTTTCGTTTTAGCCACATCATTTTAAATAACTTGTGCATATCACCTTACTGTACGTAATCAGATCGCATGTCATTCTTCGACTCATTTATGCCTTTTATTGCCCACTTTCAAAGGTTAACTTTAACCGTACTAGTAATTACCCTATTTCATCAATAGGTAAATCCATACTGGAGAAAGTAATCCCCAACCACCCAACCCTTTGTTCCTTAGCACGAAAAGCACCAATCTCCATGAGCTGTTAGAGGACAAACCACAAGATTGGGGAAGCTTTATATAAACCCTTAGTAGACAACTTTGGAGTTCTCCAAGCTGTGCTATCCGCCTAATGTTCCACTCATATTTATGATATTCCTTGTGTTTCTCCTGCACGTATTTTCAAGTATGCAGACGACGTCATGATGTACCAACCCATTTCTTCTTACTCCGATCTAAACACCTTCACCGATAACCTTGATCAAATTCAATCATCCTCCTCCTCAACCGGACTAACCTTAAACCCCAGTAAATGTGTTGAGTGTTAATACAGTTTTGCACGATCTCCATATCCGACAGATCCCACAGTGACTAACAACAATCCTTTATCTTGGGTGAACTCTGTAACTATAGATAACAATCTTCGCTGGTCAACTCACATCCACAAATAAGTTGGCAAACTGCGGCCCCCATCATTTCAAATTCGAAACCACAGGCAGTTTTGTGCATCCCAGTCAGTTATTTCTACCTTTGTATATCAGTGTTTTTCCCCACCTTAATTAATTGTTCCCCAGTTATTTTTCCTGGCTTAATTAAACAGGATTACAAAGTCTTACGCCGCTGTCTAACTATGATTAGCCACATTTCTTCTATTTCTGTGAATGCGTCAGCTGTCAAACTTTTTGAGTATCATAAGATTTCCTGTGTGAAATTCGGTGAGGATTCTCACAGATCCTGACTACCCGCTGGAAGGAGAGCTGACACGTCGTTCTCATTCTCCTATAAGCTCTCAATTCCGTCGAATTTCATCTCATACAAGCACCGACGGAAATTCACCTACATCTTATCTTGAAAGTTTACGCACAAACAAAGAGAGGGTAACAAATGAACTTTGTCCTAGCCTTGAGCGATGGTGGCCCAGTGATAACGTCACCAAATTACAACCCCGGAGGACGTGTAGTCGAATTCCACACACTGCCAACCGACTTCATCCATTCATTATAATCATCATCATTTTACAGCGTAATATAGTGAAGCAAAATTCATTGATCGCTGCCAAACACGCAATGCATACAATGGATGAAGGTAGGGGGAAGAAAGTGAACCTCTATGGTCAACACACAGAACTCTGCATACATACCGTTTCAAGCATTGTGGCCTGATAAGAAATAACGAGGCCACTGTTGTCGGCTCGCTGCTATATCCTTCAATGTCTCCAACCAACCAGCTGCGGAGTCTTTCAGACCCCAACCTGCAAGGCGCGAGACACCTACTCTACCTAATGGCTTTGTGCATTTCTTCATGCCTCGTCTCCACGTCATTTGCTAACCTCCACGTGGTTTTCTCCAGTCCGGAGGGGCTACAGCGAATAAAGCGTAGTGCGGCAGATGACAGCTGGGCATACGCAATGCGTGCCCCAGCNATATATATATATATATATATATATATATATATATATATATATATATATAACACCGGCTTGTAGATAAGCATGATGCCAACGCCACAACAATAATAGGGGGCAGGTGGATTTGGATACAAAGCAAAGTGGAGAGAGGGTGAAACAGTTAAAGACGGGAAAATGGTAGACAGCTGGGATAACAAAACTTTTGTGTTTCGATGAGCTAGCAGGGTTAAACCTGATACACTCCTAATCACGACAGCTTACCTCTACATTACTAACCCGTTTGCTCCATCCTACGTGGGCTTAACTATGTGAACACCGATAATCGAAAACTTCTAGTTGACGGATATCTTTTACTCGCAAATTCAAAGTCTCACAACCATTAATAGGGTTGCCAATGCAATGGTTTATCAAGTAGTTCAAATTGTGCTTATTGGCGCACTCGGGCACCCACGGATAGAGGTACAAACCTTGCCGCAGACACCTTATTTCAGTGATAGGTAGCTTCATTGTGATCTGGCTTAATAGTACACCTATCCCTCTAGGGTTTTACGTTGTTTGCTACCGGGAGAGGCGGGGCTCACGCTGCCGATTCCCTTGAATCGATCAGTGGGTCCTCATGGCTATGGTGTGCGTTTTTTTACTGTTCATTTCCCAAGCGATGGAGAAATAAAATTGGCAAATTTTGGAAAGCTCAGCAACAGTAATTAGTTTACGGTTACTAGACAGATAATTGGACACCGTACGTCGGCGATAACACAAGGATTCATATGAAAGTTCGTGTGGCAGAAAATTTTCTCAGTTGTTTTGTTCGACATTGACATAATCGCTAGGTTTACTTTACTGGCAAAAACAGAAGACAATGAATAATAATGATTATATAAGTGTCATATTACAGCTTCGGTTCTGAAAATATTACGAAGACACGACTGTGACAAATAGCTATGGCTGATCATAGACATGGAGGCGCAGTACTTGAAGCAGGTTATCGAGGGGGACTTCGTTCACTAGGAATGTTCACAAATCTGTTTCGTTTTTAGGATGAGGGATTTGGAATATATTGGACAGAAGTGTTATTAAGCTAGGCGACAAGATGTCTGTTTTCAATGCACAGTGGCCGTGGTAGTAATATTTGTACAATAAATCAGTAGAGACCGATTATTAGTAAACTAACATCCTCCAGTACATTGAACAATGAAAACAAATGGAGTGAAATCCTGGGTCTAGCAAGCCATCAACAATAACTCACCGGCTATGGTAACACAGCGCTCAGCCAAGTTAAGCTCTTTGGACTTCTGTGAAACCTGGATGAACACTCCGGTACTGTCTTTAACTTCTTTGATGAAAGATCCTCCTTTTCCGATAATGATGCCTGCAGTACTGTTGGGCACAAGGATTTTTACCTGACATAAAGGGAAGAAATTGCATTGACCGGGGCCGTTAGTGATGCTTAGCTGTCGTACGAGGATGTTAACACAGGTAATCCCACAAGAGTTACTGTCAGCATTTGTAACTTCGACGAATGGAATAGTCTCGCTAGTGACAAATTAAACAGAAAAAATGTAACACAGTCAAATAAAGAAATGTAAACAACAACAGTGAAAGTCGACGGCACTTTCAGGTTGCATGGTCCACCTAGGCTAATCAACATAAATCAGCTACGAACGCGAATTGCGATGGTGGCAAAAAAGACAGCGTGCAAAACTGCATCCGATGGCCTAGGTGATGAGCAATCGAAAGACAAGTACGCAAAAGTGTTGAGGAAAATGGGAAGAACTTGAGATAAGTTGCGAAGGAATGGTAAATGGATGCACAAGCAGTGATTAAAATACGATAATTGGAAGCGTGTCTCAGAAATTAGGATGAATGCACATGACAGGAGACCGGAGAAAATTGACGCAGTAAATATTTTAACGGCATCCGAAACTATTCTGGCCATTAACGGAAATCATAGTGATCAGTATAGCAACACGCCAAGAAGACGGTAATCGGGTGGAAGTGACATCATGAGATGTATTTTGGGTAGGGATAAAATATTTGATCAAAGATTTGATGATGAGTGAGAATAACTGAGCTGCACCATACGAAACAAAACCGGAAAACCCGAAAGTAACTTCAACGAATCTATAAGGGCGATGTTTTTCTTCTGAAGAAGTTGGGACGAACACGCTCAAATTTGTTTTTCGCAGAAGTCACA